CTTTTATGCCATTTTGTCAGAGCTGGATGCTTGGCATCTTTTCTTGGCAGGAAGTTTGTTTATGTTTGGGGTAAGCTTCTGTGTTGTGGAGATTCTCAACATGGAAGCTTACCCCAAACAGGTGCAGGTGTTCATGAGACGACTCCTGTGTGATGTTTTGTTAATCTTCATCACAGAGAACAGTTTCTCACACAGATATGTGCTACCAAACATACACAAGGTTCAAGCCGAATGTAGCCGGCGCTGGGGCATTGCTTCAGGAATGAAGTGAGTGAACTGTGCGGGCCCCACAGTGTCGTACTTTGCCTTTAGTGTCCCATTACACTCCAGCTCTATCAGCTCCATCTGAATCTGTACAGGTGTAATTACACCCACATTAGCTCCACAAATAAGACAAACGGGTTTACCGACAATGTCAGTAAACATATACTCAGCCTCCCACCGGTTTTGAAACCCTTTGTTTTCAGAATCAACTTTTCTCTTGGCCATTGTTAGGGGCTAGCTTTGACTTGAAATTAGGGTTGTATACATCAACAGACGCTTGAGTGATTTGACGTAATTGACGCGGGAATGATCGCAGGTAGGCTAACATTTGGTAAGGCAGCTGTTGCGCTACATTATGGGCTTTGTAGTTTGTGTGTTATGGGCGCTTCATATCGCCAGGCCTTTTAAAAAAAAAAGAAGATATATAAAATGATCTCGCGGGCCGGATATAATTGTAAGTCGAGCCGGATGTGACCCGCGGGCCTTGAGTTTGACATATATGCCCTAGAGCACAAAAAGTTGTAGTAATCACTATGTACAAATTCTTTATTCTGTTTTGAAGCTAAATTAAAATAGTCATCTTCTTTGTTCAAATGGGAAATACATGCACATGTGAGTTAGAGGATAAACAGTACAGGTGGACAACTAATAGGTTCGTAGATATGTGTGATCATGTGGCAGGCTGGTTCTTTGTGAATCACTTCACTGTAGGACTGAATAAAAATGCTAATTTTTCATTTAACTACAATTTGTATTTGCATGATTCAATATCAAATCTTGGAACATGCAATGTACATACAGAGGTTTGGGGAAGTGACTTGTAAGTGGTTCAGTTCAGAGTGTATGATCTGTAAAATGCCAGTTTTTTTGGAAAATAAGTTGTTACAATGTGAACAAAAGGGTTACTGCATTTTATGTTCTATTGTAATGTAGAGGATAGCTGGCTATATTAGTTGTAAACTCTGAATCATTTATGAGTCTGTCAAGACTCAGTATATTTAGCTGACTCTGGTTATCCTGTTGCAGACCCAGAGATCCTGTCATTGACAGAAATGGACTGGGGGGGGGGGACTGCACACTAATGCACAGCTCTCTGGTTGTTGAAGACATAACCTCTGGCTTCAAGATGTGAGACAGTGGAAGTCAAGTGAACAGTGTGTGGATTCTACTTTCTGTTCTAGTAGGGGAGCTAACTCTAGGCTGTCTGTAGATATCAAGGTGATGTCAACACAAACAGTACAAATCAATCTGTGGACAGACTTTCAGCTTCTGTCCTGTCTGTGATCACACTGGCCACTATAGTGGAGGTCTGGATTTAGATGAAGCATCTGCCACTATATGCAGGTGTATGGGATAACATTTATTTTTTCAATTATGCATAGTGATGGCACCCTTGCTAGTGGTGCAGGAATTTTATTATTCATGCTCAAGAGTGTTGTACATGCACCTAAAAAATTTTGATATGTCATGTTTTAGTTCTTTTACATTTGCTAAAGAAAATAAATGCTTGGTCCACGATATATTATAACCAGGAAATGTGTTCACAATTTAGCCTATGTGAACTTTATGGGAAACAACCCTGTTGCTTATTTATTGAATACAGGAATAATAAAAAACATTACCAAGATTGTGAGCAGCACTTTAGGCAACATCAGTATCTATATTAAGTCAACAAACCATAATTAATCAATTCTGGACTTGATTTGAAATCAAATTGAATTATGAGATCAATATCCAGCCCTACTTTACTGGGTCTATTTCTGTCTATTCTTTTGATGACATACATCCACACATATTATAAAGTTGCAAAGAGATGCAACCCATACACTTGTTTGTACCAGTCTCATTCTCATTATGCATGAATACACAGATAAGTGACATCCAAGATATTTTTCTTTCTGCTACACAAATTAAACTACACAGGAAATTCAATAAGGATTTAAATCCTTTCAAACCTAACCATTTGAGATATGTAGAACACAAATCAAGGTCACATGGCATGAAACAGGAAAGCTACTTCACTCTGGAGAACAAGCCAGCGTATCCCTGTCATTAGAACTGAGAGTCAACACTGCAAGTCTTGTGTGCACATTGCAAAACAAAAATGATGCAAGATCTCCAGATCCAGATCACCAGTTTCATAAAGATATAAAGAAATGCTACGCAAAGTAATAAGTCCTACCTTGGTTTTCAAAGCAGACTCAAGGAAAATTCCCTGAAGGTTGTTCAGAAAAATGTTGATTCAGTTAAAAGGCTCAAGGACACAAATCTTCTTGTATGGCAAGAAATAAGGAAATGCAAAAAGGGACAGAAGAACGCAGGGACAATAAGGGGACAGAGCCAAAAGTTCAACCTGGAACAGGCTCTCAAGGTCAAGAGATGAAATATGTTTTCCATTCTTGCAGAAATGAAGCTAGGACAGCAAGTCCAAAAATGTCCAGCTGTTATGAGGAAAGAATACATGGCAATAAACACCAGCTACAGCAATGCATGCACACTGTAGAAGAGGCTGGCATACTAGTATATAACGCATCTGGAACAATTTTATACTTTATATAGACAATTGGACAGTGTTGGGAGGTTTTGTTTTACCTTTTTTTTTTTTTTTTAATTCAAATGTGGTCACAGTAAGATGTCAAATCGACACTGCACAAATGTGGTATCATTAGGTTAGAGGTGCTGGCCTTTCAGATATTGTGGATGTGTGATACTGTAGTATAACGGCCCCTTACCAAGAAAGCACTGCACAAGTTGGAGAAGAAAAAGAGTAGTGGAGATTGAACTTTAACCAGCAGCCATTAATACCATAATAGTAGTACATCATGCTTAGAAACATAAAGGATAGTAAGCCAGTGTCAGTATTGATTTGTGGGAGATTTTCTTGAAGTTTGAAATAATTCAGAACTGACTGGCTATCAAGACCTGTATTGCAGACTGGTAGTTGCTCTACTTAAATGTCATTGTCTGCCATTATACAATACATGAGTTCAGGCTGCTGGTGAGGTCCTTTCCGCCACTCAACACACTCTCACAAAACAGACACACATCTTCCATGTCTTTCCACAGAACACATGTTGGTAATGCTCCCTAGTACCACACTTCTACCTGTCATCTCTGAAACCAGCAGGGTATAACCACTAACACTCCCCATAGGCAACAGCTCTGATGCTGGAATCGGCACCCCTCTCCTCTCTCAAGGAGTAAGGGCTCTCTGTGCTTATCTCGGCACGGCTGTCGTGTCGACAAAGAACTTATTATTGCCTCCTCCTTGCTGGAGACTTCCAAGAGTCAAAGATGCACATTGTTAATCAGCCCCTTGCTGTCATACCCACTCATGTCTAGCTAACATGGCAGTCAACATGCCAATGGCAACAGCACAACACAAACTTTATCACAAATGAAAAATTGGCTGCTTTAAAAAGAGAAAAAGTATGGGTGACACAGCTCAACTCAGGACCTACAATACCACTTAATAAGCAAACAGATTTACGCAAACACGTTTATTCGCCTGTCACCTTGCCTGTGCCCCCACGTCAAACCTGAACAGTACTGAATTTCAGTTGTACATAAGCTCTATGTTACAAAGCTGAGCTCTACAACACACTGTAATACCCATCTTAAATATTTTATCATTTGAGCCATCACCTCATTGTTGTACTGTAGACTTTGTAGTATTTTTAAGTAACAGGTCCATGGCAACGTTAGGGCATTTCCTGCAGTTACAGTACAAGTTAATTTCCAGTGTTCAGTAAAAATAATTTTTCAATGCAGCAAGATCACACCTAAATAATGTGTGTGCAAATATGTAAACTGGGGTTTCAATACTAATTAAAAGCATTAGCACTAAACATATTACAATTAGTATGTACTAATAAACTAGGAAAAGACATGGATAAAATAAACAGCACCCTTATAATACATTTCTTTAACCTTCTCCACATAATTTCCTATTTACTGCTAGCCAACCAGAAAGCGATAACATGGCAGGGACACAGGACTTAAATCACCGTTTTTCCTCACAGCATGTGCCTCAGGAGCTGAGGAGCCAATCTAATGATGAACTCTGAGTTAAATCCAGAATAATGTGCAGGTAAAAACAGAAAGAAGAAGGAGCATCAACTGTAGCACAGTATGTGTGGCCCTGCAGGATTAAGGTAATGAAACCTTATTGACCAATATTCATACTTTCATATTCAACTTGGTGGCAGTAATATGTGAACATGTTTTAGAAATAACACACAAAAGCATTTGTTATTAGAGTAGTAAGAGCGTCTACTGTACATGCGAGGCTCTAATACCATGCTCTAGAAGCAAGGTTTTTATGTAAAAATGCAACTGTCTTATTAGCTTCAGTGACAAATTGAGGATGTAGAGTACAGCAGCCCCTTTAGAATAATTAAGAGCATAAGGATTCACAGAAATGGCCTCCTGAAGAGCCATAAATGAGTACTTCACTGGGAGAAAGCTGGACTCCCCAATGACGGCTGCCAAACCAACATAAATATGGAGAAAAACAGTTGACTAACATCACTCTGATTGTAATCCCTCAAATGTTTGAAGGCACATTAGTCTCTCACTGCCACTTCAACAGCTTAAGTGCAAAGTGGCCCGTGTATTTTTAGTTAGTGACTGTAGGTAAACCTCAGCACCAGCTATCCAGCTGCAAACATCTCCACTAGCACCACCCACTCTAACCACACACACTCAAACCATGAGTCAAAAAATTTTCCACTTACGGTCGTTACAAAACGAGCCTCTATAGGACGTCATAGTGCAGTCGCAGGTGAAGCCCTCCCACTGCTGCAGACACACCCCCTGATGGTAGCATGACTCCTCCGTACAGGTGGTACTGGGTCCTGAGAGAAAGTTCAGTATTAAGTTTTCAGTCTAAAAATATATTAAATTAATTTGTGAGACCACACAGTGCACAGATCAGAATGTTTTAAGCTTTGTTTAGATTATATTTCAATTCACATGCCTCAAGTAATGTGAAATGTTTGTTGCTACTAGAACAGTGCTCATCACAAAGAATGAAAACCTTCAGCAGCTTTTAGCTGATTGTGGTATTTAAGAGTGATTGGTGAAAACAGCTGAGCATTAGTGACACACACATTATCAAATCTAGGAGCTGCTGAGTTAAACAAAGGCTAAAAAATTAAAAGCCAATTTGTCTTAAGAATCCAATGGCCAGTGGATGCCCAAGCTGCTCTAGCTGCTGGATGTCTAAGTAAGTGAACAGGGACCATTGGCAACTTCTGGCCAAGATGGACGTCTTTTTGCATTTGGATGGCAGGGTTTTACATCCGTCTCCAAGCTCGCCACAGCTCTGGGTTTGTTCACTAAACGGGATCACCCATTCCTTGGTACCTTTGAGTCCTCAGTTTTGGAAACCTTGCAGAGAGCAAGGGTGCCATCCACAAAGATGGTTTACAGGAATTACTGGGCTGCAATTAACTCATGGTGCATCAGATGACAGGAGAGCCGTCCCTGGTAGGCTAGTGGTTAAGGCGCAGCACCCTCGCCGCTGTGCCCCGGGTTTGAATCAGGGTTGCGTCAGGAAGGGCATCCGGCGTAAAACATGTGCCAAATGTCAACATGCGAGTCATCAGTGTGACGATTCGCTGTGGCAACCCTTAAACGGGAAAAGCCAAAAGTGACTTTCTTTCTTGCATCAGATGACAGGAGGGGACCTGAAAAATATTTCAATTAAGACAGCTTTTCTTTTGACTATTGAATTTCCCTGGGGATCAATCAAGATCTAACAGCCAAGCATGTGAGTGAACTACATAGACGTTCTATTAGTCCTACCTCCCTCTGAGGGAAGGCAGATAACCCCGTCGCTGAAGTTGTGACCAGCTGTCTGTTTTTTTTTTTTGCCTAAAAAGTTCTGTCCGTAAGCCATGTTCAACAGGCTACTGAGCTAGAAGTGTACTGTTCTACAGCTGTCCCTGTGGATGTCATCTGTCATTCTGCCAGGAGTATGAGTGACAATGAAGGGGGTACCAGAGATCTGTGCAGCAACATACAGGCAGTGCCATGCTCTTTCTCCAAGTTTTATTAAATCAATGTGGTATCTGCGCATTTATTGTATAGTGCAGACGTGCATGGGGCCTATGCGACACGCATGTGACCTTATTTACATTAGACCTCTTCCTGCACAGAGCAGGAGGAGAGCCATCCACTTTGTTAATGACAATGGGAGTCATCCAGTAATTCACAGAACCACAGTTACCTTCATAATGTTCATTAGCCACATGAATTTCACAAGATGAAATGGAGGCTATGTGAGGCAGTTTAAAAATCACTGTCCCCAGATGTTCATTTCTTTTTAAAAATATAAGTAATAAAATAAAAGTAAACTGCTGAATAATCAGTCTCCTATGTTTTTAAAGCATTGTTTTAGGCTTTCATGCCATTAAACAAGACAAACCTCACATTTCAAATACTGGTGTTAAATGATTCAGTCACTCAAACCGAATACAGTAGCTGCTCATCCACTGACAGAGTGATTTGATTAATTTGATTAAGTTGCTTATAAATGTATTCAGATTAAATCTGACATTAGTTCAAGGTTAAAACCTGGTGTAATTACCACACTAGGGGCACATTTTAGGAAATTTGTGTTGGTAGTGGCAGCCATAGAATCCCTCATATATTTGTGTGTGTGTTTGGGGCTGCACTCTCCTGTTGTTCCCTCCCACAGTCATGGATGGTAAAACATATTTAAATTAGCAATTTGAAGCTTGGCTACTGTAATTTCTCCAAGGGATTCCAGCCATTTATCCAGGTAGGTAATGTGACTGACTGCTTTGAAAATTCATATTTCCACTTTGGATTTATGCATGTCAACAGACATTGCCACAGAAAACGATGGCAAATTTATTTCCATATCTCCAGTGTTTGCTTTTGTCAGCTATTTTATTAGAAGCTAATAATACTAATCATCAGTTTTCCTTCTGACAAAAACAAATAATTGATGTGGCAGAGTTAGATAAAAGACTATGATGCAGATCAACTATTAGGCAATAGAATTCCTCAAAAAAAAGTACATGTGGTGGCTGCCATGTTGGTATTGGTGGTGGGGATTCTCATTAAAATCTCAATTAAACACAAACATTTCCAAAGAACCATGGTTCACTGCCAGACTAATTTGTTTCTGCATAGATAAACAGACATCTCACTGTGCCATTTACAAGTGGTTCAATTAAATTAAACCCCTCCAAAACCACAGGAAAAAAAAACAACATCTATGAGAGCTTTTACTTCCTGGTCCAAAATATCCACTTTAAACTCAGTCATTTTCTATCAGCTTGTTGAGCTAGCAGTTCAAAATCATGCTAATTGCCCCAAAGAAAAGGTTTTAATTAATAGCTAACTGAGCATATTGTCAGGATTAATACCCAAGTCATGGAAACACTTCCTTACTTTTTCTATTACTGGCTGATTATTGATGGACCCAACACTATCCACTATTATATGCTCTTGGCTTCTTAAAGCATACAATTCCATCCAAATGTGCAGGAAAATCGTGAGTCATACAAGCAGAAACCCTAATGGAACACACATCTCGACTCACTTGCCGTTATCTGTTTTTACAACTAACAGCTGCATTACACCTGAAACATTTGCTCACACACTAGCAGTATACAGTAGGCCAATGCATGCAAGTGGTTTAAGATGGGTAGTGCTGTCGCCTCAAAGTAAAAAGGTTCCGGGTCCAACCCTATTCAGGAATAAGCAGTATAGATAATGGATGGATGAATGAATGTCACTTCTGGCTTTTTCCCGTTAGGGGTCGCTAACAGTGAATCGCCACACTGGCGTGTTTTACACCGGATGCCCTTCCTGACACAACCCTGACTCGAACCCGGGCTATAGCAGCAAGAGCGCTGAGCCCTAACCACTAGTCTATCAGGGAACCCTAGATAATGAATAATCTTGGATTTAAACTCAGCTACTGCTCCTTCTGTTGCTATAAGTGCTTAGGCTTCTACTGTTACAGTGTTTAATGCTACAGTACATTATTCTGTCCATATAGGTTGATACAGTGTGTGTTTTTACTGTTTTCTCATTATTTGGCCTTGTTTCCTTGTTCCCTCCCTCTGGAGCTACAGTGAGTCAGCAACACTGTACTTCAACTCTCATGGTCTCACTCGCTGTCCCTTTTCCCCGTCTTGTTCTTTGTTGTGATCCATTGAGTCAGTAGAGCACTCCAAGAATAAGCTCAGTGTTCTGGCCTCTGCCTGGCCCTTGGTCTAGACAGACTGGCTCAGCAACCACTCTCCATCCCCAGTCCACAGGCTAACAATGACCTCACAACCAAGAAGGTCAGAGAGTTGACAATGGTCCGACACTGCATTTTTGGAAAAGTCATCTTTATTACTCTTGCACAGTAGAAACTGGGTTTGAACTATTCGATATAAAAGTTATTTGATTTGATGTCAGCAATAGGCTTCTCTGTGTGGTATGGAAAGATACATTTGGAATCTGATTGCAAAAATTGGACAACTAGTCACAAATGATAAAGAGCCATACATACATGGATCTTGGTGTGGTGAACCTCAGGTCTAGGTATACCATTACTTGGCCACCCTTCTAAAACTGGTCAATTATAACTGTTCAGCTCTCTGGCACATCCACATTATCTAATATTAGCATCCATTTCAGGTGCCTGTGGGAGTCAATATGATAGCTTAATGCGGTTTTAAAATGTGTTTGGAGCGAAGTAATTGTGGTGTATAACTGTAGGCAGGTAATAAGGCCGGCTGGCAGAAGCAGCAACACTAGGGATCGAGGGGAAAAATCTGGATGAGTGCCGCATCCAGTCGGCCAGTGCGGCCCTCAGGGAAATCAAGTCTGTGCTCTGACGCTCAGTACACCATAGAGATGTAGTGGTGAGGGGGCATAGAGAGGGGTGTGTGGAAGGATAAATGCTATAGCCAAAATCTTCTGTTATATTCAGGATTAACATGGCAGTAAACTGAGTACAGCAGAGGTAAAAAAAAACAAAAAACAAAAAACAAATGCAAGACTGATGAAGCAAACGTCAATGAGAATGGGGTGTCACTGAGATTAGCACCACTGACAATAACATTAGAGGAGAGAGATACCCCCCTCTTGAGGGTTTTATGGTGCAGTAGAAAGGATATACAGTGGACAGGAGCTTGGACAATAAAGACTGAGCTGTGAGAATATGGGCATGGTTACTGGTATATATCAGGGAATTGCAGCCACAGAGAATGCATAGAGCTACTGTAGTGGTGTCTCTTTACTGAAAGCTGCTGGCGGCAGCTTTGTGAGTAATCAGGCCATAAATGGAAGCCAATCCAATTTATGGGTGTAAATAAACAAAAATTATGGCTATTTAAAATTGAGAACTAAGGTAGTGTATAAAGAAGCCCTTTTGCACTGAGACCATGCTAAAATCATTAAAAATCGACTATTAGCACAGCAACACAAAGGTTTAGTAATCGAAAAACTTGTTTTTCATTCAAAACAAATGAAATGGTACACAGATTGCAACTGCACTCCTAACTTGTTTTCCTTGTAATTACACTCTCAAACTTAGCTGCCTTTGATAAGAAATCATTATAAAGTTGGCATCCTCTCACTCAAATTAGCCACTAAAAACAAGAACACTGAATAAAACTGAACATCTAAATATGTCAGACCAGTGCTATTTCATTTTCCCTTTTGAGTTAGTTGTGATTTATCCATGCTTTTAAACACAACATCGATGCCATTAGTAACTGAAGAGATATAGTTAAAACATACAAAATATTAAAATTAGGTCACCACAATTTAGTACCAAGCAAAATATTACTACATGCCACTCACCATCGCAGCCTCGTTCCACCTGGCCCACCCTGTGGAGGGCATCTGCAATCAGGTCAGGGAGTCTCCCATTCAGGTCGACAGAGGCCAGACAGCCCTGGTACCCATCCCGGGATGCAATTAGCTTGGGCAGACTGCTGTACATGTTCTTTGTCACGCCACCGATGTACAGCTCCCCTGCAAAACACCCACATATAAAACCACCAGTGAGAACCAAAAATTATGTTCACTTTTTAATTACATTTTTTAAAACCTAAAAATAGACATTTTCTGCACAAAATACAATCATATACAGTAAATACAAATGTAGAGAATCTTGACAGATGTGGGCAATAACCACTTGATTTTAAACACTACACAAAAAAACATCTTAATATTCATACTGTAACGATATTAAGCATCTTTATTTTAATAGCATATGTCCAAGTTCAACATAAAAACAGAAAAAGGTTTTAATGACACAGCGGGACACACATTTCAAGTATCTACAGCCCTTTATTGTATTTATTATATTCCACGTTGCATCACTGCAGTGATGAACAGTTAAATACAGTTCCTTAAGTTGTTGCTGCAAGCAGATGAGATACTTTAAGCCACAAGGTTGGTCAGTAAATGTTTTTTTTTTTTTTACTACTATAAATAGGTGATTACTGGACACACACACAAAACTATCTCCAGCATTATTCAATCATCACATTGACTGGTTATGGATGTGTGGATACATTTGCCTACATTCCAATAGTAGTCCAAAAACTGACGGGAACAGACCATCTCAGTTGTCTACCATGACCAGAGACTGTATATCCATATATAAACATTTCAATTAGGGCTACTGATGTTACATAAATGGATTTCTTGACTTCATGCACCTGTGAAAAACAATTACTTGAAAATCATAAATCTCAAATTAAAAAAAGAAAATTACATTAAAAAGTGGGGGGAAAGTCACATTATACATCTTAAAGTTGTTTGCAATTAAGATCTCTCATACACAGGTCTGGATGATGCCACACAGCAGCAAAACATGTTCATTTATAGGCTAGTGCTATGTGTGTGGGCATAATGTGCCATTAAGCCTTTATGAGGCACACATATGTCCAGTACCTTTTCATTTTTAAATGTTAATCAACAAGAACGTTCATGTGCTCTCCTGATCAATAGGGGAACAAGACGGAGATCACACTGAAATATTTGTCTACATATCTTACTGATACTTTACACAGAACTGTATTGTCTGTGCTTGTTTTGTTTTTAGCATCCTGATTAATTTGCTCAAAACAAAATGTCTCCTTAGTAATTGTATCAGTAAAGGTTACAGCAGCAAATCTTTTACCCATTTGCAGACATTTGGAGGTATGTTTTAATCAGTGCAGTGTGTTGCTAAATTACTATGAGGGCATATAATACAATGATACTGGTACCAGACAGTAAACATTACAGTCACCAAAAGACAATGATTTGATATTTTAAAGCCAAGTGAATGTGAAAGACATTACCTGACAAAATTACAGCGGGAACAAGAACATGTTTTGATGTTAACGAGTTAAAAAAGCATGAACATGTATATGAACATGTATTTTTGTAATCTGGTGGAAAAAAATCTTCACAACAGCACTTTTCATGAAGCCAGAAGACTTTTATCATCTTGCTGAGGACTCTCAAACTGAGTTTTGAGATATCTTAGCACACTAGTAAAATTAAGGTCTGTTGACATTACAACACAAAAGGAAATATCCTTCTACTTTAAAGCCCAATTATTTTCTCTCATTTCCTCCCTCAGCCCTCTCTTTGGTACAGTTGTGCAGATGGTTCCAACTGAAATTATGAAAAACAGAGGCCTTTGATGTAAGTGTATATGAATAAACAGTTTGAAATGCTTCAGGCACTTCATATCATCAAATCATCAAACCTCTACATTTTATCCTTAAGTAGGCATAAAATCCAGCAAAAGCTTTCACACAGTAGTGAGATCCTGGTACAAAGTTATAATAATCAGAAAACTCTTCTATACATGTATTTAAAAAATAAAAATTAGGACTGAGAAGCAATGAGCCGCAAGGTCAATTGTACTGTATGTGGACTTTCTGTAATGCAATGAGTCATTGATGTTTGCCAACCTTTTTCAGGAATTAATGAGCACTTGACACTTCATATTTCCCAGCCAGGGCTCTGGGGCATTGTAATCAATACAATGAATTCATTAGCTGTCTGACTGAGTGATGTCCCGAAATCACGGTTGTAAGAACCATTTAGCAAATATGAAATTATCGGTATGGAGTCAATCTCTAAAGAGCAGACAGCATGTTTGAAAAGCCAGTGACTAACTGCACAACTGGAATAGACAAGAGAAGGGGGAGACTGGTGCCAGACGTACTGTAAAAATTTGTCACACAAGCTTTGTTTTTTTTTTTTATAGAATAGAAACTATAGAGGATGGATAAATACGCAGAACAGATAAGCACACCCACTCAGAGAACTGGGCTCTCATTGTGTTTAGGTTGAACTTGAAACATTTGAATTACAGATTTCTTTGAGTAAAGTTTAGACCTCCTTTATTTGGGCCATTAGAGCTCATTCAGCTTGTTTTCAAATGCAGTGTACTACAGCTAGGGGTGGTTACTTTGGAGGTTCCAGTTCACAGCTCAAAGCTGCTAGCAGCCAAGTTAGCATGTAAGAAACACACAGTACAGTATACAGTCTTGAAGCTCCAACCATGTAAGAAACACACAGTACAGTATACGGCCTTGAAGCTCCAACTGTCCAACATTACTACTTAGCAAACCAACTACAACATCTAGTCAAATGGATTCAGAAGGGCAGTTACAATACCTCATGGATAGAAATAGAACAAACCCATTGCATAAAAACCTCAGTTGCTGGCCTTCCCTTCCTACTAAACTCAATCAAGAAAACTATTGTAAGAACATTATTAAATTAACAGACAGCCTGGTGGAAAGCAGCACAACAACCCTGCCCCCTTTTTTGTGGCAACACAAAGGAATCACTTGCCTTCGTCACCTATAACCAGTTCATATCATTCAATGAACTAGTCCGGAAGTACAGAGTTGGTGGAGAACAGCTCCTCTGGTACCAACAACCGAAATCCATAATTAAATCCAAGAACAATATAACCAATAACCCACTAGAACCTTCCAAGAGATAATGAAAATTACAAACTTTATAAACTTGCATCAAATATATAGACAATAACAGTACCAAAAAATAAATGGGAACATAATTTAACCATCTCCCCCAGCTCCAACTTCTGGATGAAACTCTGTAATAATATCTTCTCTATAACTAGTAATACAAATTTACAACTTCTACAGTACAAGACCATCACAGGACCCACAGCACACAAGGCAAAATGTTGAAAATGGGCTCAACTGATACTGACACCTGTTCATAGTCCACTGATGATTATTTTCATGCTACTTAGGTCTGTCACCCAGTTCACTATACAGTGTGTATTTTATTTTATTTTTTTACATTATTATTGATGACGGCATTGACTATGTAGCTATTATGATTAAAATTCTTTGTGGCTGTCAGTTAATTTACCACCAAGATACAATACATTTGTTCTCCACTGTCCTTGCTACTTCGTGTACATCACATCATCAACTAAACCAGACAACTGTGAATATAGGAAAGTACTAGTGGTACTACCTTTTCCCTATTCATTACTCACTATCAGCTACCATTATATTACCCTGACTCAATTTTATATCATTACTCTATTACATCTATATTGCTTACTGCTTTCATTATTCTCACAGTATTATCAATATTAGGATAAAACCCACTTTTTCTTTACTAATTTTATTTGCCAATAGTTTATCTTTCTACTATTTCTATATTAAAATTACTATTTCTTCTCTAATCATAACCATCCCCCCCCCAGTCAATAAACCAGAAGAAATTGTATAGGGGATATCTCGCCATGTCCCCAGCAGCTGAGACATGTCCTTTGGAGTCAGTCTGAAGCTCCCTCTGGAGTGGACAGTATGGCAGGGGTCACTGCTTCCTTTCCCTCAACTACACAACATTAACGGACCGCTGAACCCTCTGAGACAAGCTTCCTCCTCAGGGTCTGGGAGCTGCTTAGGGGTGGAATGCATCAATACATCATACAATGTGTCAGGCCTCTACTATCAAGGTCAGGGGTCGACCCCAAGGTACAAAACCCCAGTTTAAACAATCAAAATAAATCATGATAAACAATGGGAAAGTCTAACTTAACCATCCAATAAGGATGCTGCTATCCTGGCTGTTCAGGGCAGAAACATTACTATTATTATTTCATTGCTAGTTTACCCCACATACTTTTTAATGCACATTTTCTATCTTTAATTTACTTCATTTTTGTTTGTTTTACTCCCCCTCTTTTTGTTAAATATAGATACCAGACTGCACAGCTGAACATAGCCACACTACACACAAAAACCAAAATGTTAAACCCCCTATGTTTCTTTTGTAATTGTTCATCTCTTGTCTTGTTTTCCATGTCCCAGCCTCTGTCCTGTTATTGTGCTATTTTGTGCTATAATAAAAAGAAAAAATAATTGTTCAGCTAAGACTGATCCAAGTGGCACTACATGCATAAATTCATGAAGCTAAGTGGCCCAACACAAACATTTAATGCAACTTTTTTTCCCTCTGTATACAGCAGAACACATTTAAAAGTATAAAGCTTTTTTTGCACAATTACCATATCTAAATATGTTCACAGGAAATGCACATTTAAGAAGGTTTGTTTCTCTCTTAGGTAGTAACACATCAGTGTTGAAGAAACTACATTGAAAATGTAGTTTTACAAGCTATCAGTTACTTCATAGTGGAAGAAAAACTACAGCAAAAAAGTATTTCAACTTGAATCATTTTTTCCTTTTATGGCTCAAAAGTATTTGTAGTTGCAGTTTACAAATGAAATAATGTAATTTAACTACTTCAGTCAAGTGTTTGTCATATACACAGTGATGAAATTAATGAAATTTTTACTTTGCCATCCACATGAATGTCACACAATATAAATTAAATATAAAGTAGATACATAGGTAACAAAATCTAAATCTCAAAATCTAAGGCACTGTAAAACAGCTGATAAAGAATAATGAAAATTACCATAACACAATATAAGGAAGAGGGAATATATGCTACATGGGAACTGTGTGTGC